AGCCAGCTGTCCTCCTCCATGGAAACGCTGCTCCAGGGACCAGAGTCCACTTTCAATGAAGCAGAGGGCGCTCAGTCCCTTGTGCTTCTGGAGAGACCTTGGCAAAACTCCCAGGCAGACATTGCTTCCTTTCAGCACAAGGATTTGATGGGAATGCCTTTGGGTGACCCCGAGGGTGGTGGGTGTTAGTCCCGTCCACTCCTGTTGATCCCTTAAGGGCCCCCAACCTGTTCCCCTCTTTAGGAAAGTGGGAATGCGTCATCCCCACACTGGCCTCCTGCCCTCCAGAGGCGTAGAGGGAGCTCCTCCATGAGTAAGGCAGGTGAAAGGTTCAACTGGACCAGCTCCAGTCAGGAAGGGCTGCCGTTTTGTCCTTTGCTTCAGGCGGCAAAATATCGGGGCTGGCTATGAGGCTGCTGGGTTCATCCTGCTCAGAACTCTCCCCACATACAAGTTTCACCCACTGAGGATCCATTGAGCAGCCATTCTCTTCCCGTGGCAAGAGACGTGACGAGAAGGGGCATGGCCCCAGCTGGAAGGACGGACCGCTCTCCCAAGACACCCATTCCAACATTAGTATGAGAATGTGCCTGAAGTGAGAGGGCCAAAGGACACCACTCCTCAGGGATTTCCTCTTAACTGGGCAAAACCCAGAGCCCATTCTCTTTCCCTCCCATTTCTATACGAACCACCTTTAAAACTAGATATGCTTGATTTGGGGGGGGGGGCAATCCTGCTGTCCAGTCACCCATTTCTCCCTCATGGGAAGCTCTATGGAGCACCATGGAGTCATTGTTGGGAGAGAAGGACATGGCGCCCATGGGGGTGTCCCACAAGTATGGAAATTGCCCTGGTAGGAGTCATTGGGTCAAAATAATTTCCCACATTGATTGCAAGTTCCCCTTGCGGTGCAGATTTATATTGGTTTCCCATTTTCTTGCAAATGGCACTGACTTTCTTATGGCCCAACAAATCAACTTGGTAGTTTAATGGTGATGTTGATTCCTGGAAAAGAAGCAGGCAGCCATGTCAGCACCTGGAAAAATGCTTTTACAGCCCGCTATTAGTGCAGGTGGGTGAGGCTGAAGGTCCACCAACGGCAGGGCCTTATCTCCGCTGCCAGCCAGCTGTCCTCTTCCATGGAGACGCTGCTCCAAGGACCAGAGTCCACTTTTAATGGAGCGGAGGGTGCCCATTCCCTTGCTCTTCTGGAAAGACCTTGGCAAAGCTCCCAGGCGGACGTTGCTTTCTTTCAGCACAAGGACTTGATGGGAATGCCTTTGGGTGACTCCGAGGGTGGTAGGTGTTGGTCCCTTCCACTCCTGCTGACCCCTTAAGGGAAAGTGGAAATGCATCTGCCCCAGGAGGCTCCTCCATTAGTAATGCAGATGAAATGCTCAGCCGGATGAGTTCAAGTCTTTGGCTTCAGGCAGCAATGTTATACCAAGTCATACCCAAACATTATGAATTCTGAGAGGCGGCTTCATTGGGGCACAGAGTGGGCCCTGCATGGCCTTTTCTCTTTGTCCTGCACAACCCCTCAATGAATTGCCCTGAACGGCTCAGGCTCTTGGGCTGCCTTCATCCTCTTGGAGAAACCTGCCAATGACTTCAAACTTCTAACAACAGGAAAGGAGATTCTACCTGAACTTGAGGAATAACGTCCTGACTGTGAGATCTGTTCAGTGGTGGAACACTCTCTCTGCCCCAGAATGTGGTGGAGGCTCCTTCTTTGGAGGTTTTTAAGCAGAGGCTGAATGGCCATCTGTCAGGGTGCTTTGAATGTGACTTTTCCTGCTTCTTGACAGAAAAGCTTTGGACTGGATGGCCCATCAGGCCTCTTCCAACTCTAGGATTCTATGATTTTATATTTCTACCCCTGACAGCTTCCAAGAAAGGGGCCTCCAATGAACTCCAGGGCAGAGAGTCCTACTGCTGAACAGCTCTTCTTACAGTCAGGAAGTTCTTCCTCGTGTTCAGGTGGAATCTCCTTTCCTGTAATTTGAACCCATGGCTCCATTGAGTCCTAGTTTCCAGGGCAGCCAAAAGGAAGCCTGCTCCCGCTTCCTTATGACACCCTTTCTCATACTAATCCATGGCAAGAATGTTTTCTCTCCACCTTCTCTTGTACAGGCTAAAGAGACCCAGTCTTTAAGATGCTCCTCAGAGGGATTATTCATGGTCTCCAGACATTTGAACCTTTTAGTCACCCTCTTCCTCTGAACCCTTTCCAGCTTAGAGTCAATATCTGTTTTGACCTGTGGGCCCAGAACTGGACACAGTGTGATTCCAGGTAAAGAGGTCTAACCAAAGCTGAATACAAAGGCACCATGACTTCCCTCAGTGAAGACACTACTTTTGATGCAGTCCAAAATCCCACTGGCTTTTTTAAGCTACTGCATCACACTGTTGGTTCATGTTCCACTTGTTGTCCACAAAGACTCAAAGATCTTTCTCACGTCACAGGACTGATGCCCTGCTTATGTTGTCTCGTTGTGCAGAAATTCAAGGGGAAACCTCTTTGGTTTCATATTTTTTTAAAAAATGTAAAAACTTCAAAAGTGTCCTAAAAATCAGTGGATGAGCGAAACGTTCTGAAACTTTGCAGAATCGATGCCCTGCTTATATTGTCTCATTGTGCAGAATTTCTGGATCTGCGTGGTCTTTCTTTCTTAGGGAGAACATACGTTTCTAGAAGGAAGGCAAACCCTTCTTCTTGGCACATTTCTCCCTTTTGCCCTCTATTTGTCCCTCTTCAAAATCCACAGCACAGTTGGTCAGAGCTGGCCTCCAGGTCCAGCGTTCCAAGGCCTGGCTTCCCAGTTCTCTCTTGGTGTCTATGCCACATTTTTTAAAGTTTGCTGTTGAAATCTTTTGCTCATCCCATCCAATGTGCCTATGCACACACAGCAAGGGATATGCTCAGAAAGTGCTATTTACTAGAGGTGTACATAATTTCGGATGAATGCAAAGCTGGGGTGAAAATTGCTGGAAGAAACATTAACAACCTCAGATATGCAGATGACACCACTCTGATGGCCGAAAGCGAGGAGGAGCTGAGGAGCCTTCTAATCAAGGTGAAAGAAGAAAGCGCAAAAGCCGGGTTGCAGCTAAACGTCAAAAAAACCAAGATTATGGCGACAAGAATGATTGACAACTGGAAAATAGAGGGAGAAACCGTGGAGGCCGTGACAGACTTTGTATTTCTAGGTGCAAAGATTACTGCAGATGCAGACTGTGGCCAGGAAATCAGAAGACGCTTACTTCTTGGGAGGAGAGCAATGTCCAGTCTCGATAAAATAGTAAAGAGTAGAGACATCAGACTGGCAACAAAGATCCGCCTAGTCAAAGCCATGGTCTTCCCTGTAGTAACCTACGGATGTGAGAGCTGGACCTTAGGGAAGGCTGAGCGAAGGAAGATCGATGCTTTTGAGCTGTGGTGTTGGAGGAAAGTGCTGAGAGTGCCTTGGACTGCGAGAAGATCCAACCAGTCCATCCTCCAAGAAATAAAGCCCGACTGCTCACTGGAGGGAAAGATACTAGAGACAAAGTTGAAGAGGGGCCGACCAAGGGCAAGATGGATGGATGGCATCCTTGAAGTGACTGGACTGACCTTGAGGGAGCTGGGGGTGGTAACGGCCGACAGGGAGCTCTGGCGTGGTCTGGTCCATGAGGTCACGAAGAGTCGGAGACGACTGAACGAATGAACAACACATAATTTCGGAACCAGATCGGAACTCAAATATGTACATATGATTTTTGACATATGAAGGTGAGTCCCAAGACTTGCAGGAAAGGTGTTTATGTGTTGGGGTGGCGGGATTTAGAATTTGAATCGCTTAGCAATTTTTTTCAGAAATGTTCCGTAATGCTCGGATGTCTCCCAAGGTCAGTTTAATTTTCACAGCCATTAAGTAACTTTGCTAAAACCAAAGGAACTTAAAGTAAAATCTAATTCTTTTGGCTGGTGCTGCCAGAAGGAAGGCAGTGGGTGTGGCCAATCACAGCCACCATTGGTAGAGATTGCAAAAGGTCCCGCTGTTAAACTACATTTCCCACAGTGCAAGTCTGCTCAGTAACCAAATGATGGCTGAAGGATCCAAATTGCTGGCTGTAGCAGTCACCGTCTAATACAGGGGTCCTCAAACTTTTTAAACAGGGGGCCAGATTACTGTCCCTCAGACCACTGGAGGGCTGGACTATACTTTTTTTTTAAAAAAAAAACAATGACCAAATTCCTATGGACACTGCACATGTCTTATTTTGCTACTGTTATGAATCGTAATGTAAATTTCTGATATGCATGATGTATTTTTTATTGTTACAATCTGAACATAAAGCATAGTGATTAATCACAAAAACAATATGTAATTATACATTGTAAAATATTTATTTCTAATTACAAATAAATGAAATTTTGATTTCAAGCATGTCACAGCATGGGTAACAGTCTTAATATAACAGCAGGGAATCCATGAATATGTTTACTGTTCAGCCCTCAGTGAGGACAAAACTACATAATTTGTTTGTAACTTGGGGACTTCCTGTCCAGGTTGGGTCACAGGGGGTCACAGATACTACTGTACAGAAGAATAACACCTGGCAAAGTCAATGAAAGATTAAATGTCTCATCTTGAATGCTAAGCAGGGCCAGTTCTGGTTAGTATTTGGATGGGAAGCCACAAATGAATAGCAGGCGCTATATTTCAGAAACTGACAAAACTATTTTTGAGTATTTCCTCTCAAAGAAATCCCTATTAAATTCATGGGGCCACCATAAATAACAGGAGACCTGAAGGCACATACATGCACACACACCCAACCATGGGCTGCTGAAAGCAATATAGGAATACAGAGAAAAAGGTAGATATAGCATTTCTGAAGATAAAATAGTTCCAATGAAAATGAGGAAAAAATCTATTTTCTGTTGTTTTGAAAGTGGTTTTTGGCATATGTAAGCATGAGTCCCCTTTCAGGGGGAGAAGGGCGGGGTATAAATATAGGAAATAAATCTATATAAATAAAAATGTAATGTTCATTTGTGAGGACTTTTTGAGAGGATAATTGAGTTGCTCTAAGCCAATTTCTGTGCTGAGCTGTAAAAAAGTAATGACCTCTATGGATATGTCTTAAGAGTCGTCCCCCACCCCCACCCCCCTCAACTCAATAGGGGAAGCAAACGGATGTCAGGAGAGTTTGGATGGTGTCTTTCTGCCTGGAAGAAGGGGGTCAGTCTAGATGTCCCTTGATGGGGTCTGCACTATGATTTCTGTTCTCCACCAATTTAACACAGTTTGTGCCACACAAATAAAATGTATGGAGTAGAACAACTATTTTCCAAGTAAAGACCACATAATGAAACAGGAAATAAAACTTTCAAACCAGGAACAGATTTTCTTTATTATTAAAAAAAAATTTTAAATATATTTTTTGAAATTTTGCTAGAAATCCATGCATCTGTAATTTGATGTGCTAACAGTGGTAAATGTGTTCTACCACTGTAGCAAGTTTCATCAGGATATCTCAAAAATGAGGGAGAGGGGTACTTACAAAGATTCGGAAGTTTCTTAAAGTTTTGAATTTTTTACCCCCAAAATTCAGAAAGGACTTTAGAAACAAAGCACCAGGGCCCCCACTTTTGAACACAGATTGGAAGCATTTTGTGACCCTGCTTCTTGACCCTCCTGACACAAGGTTTGAATCATGGGAGAGCCCATAGGCCTTGCTGGAGGCGGGGAGGCTGAGTGGCCAAGGAGGCACATTGGTTCCCCTTCCTTGGGGATTGTGCCCTCTGCCCCTTGAGCCCATGGCTGGGGCACCCCAGTTATAGTACAGCGGAGGACACTTCACCCGGAGCTGCATTTGGCTTAGAGAAATGGAAGCAGGAGGCAGTGTCTACTTTCAGTGTAACATGCACAGATATCTATAGCAACAAACACAGAAAACTGTAAATTGCAAATCACAATATCTATATTATAGGAAATTCTACATTAAACGTAACGTGGGAACCTTAACTAAACTGATTAGTAATTATTTATACATGAAAGGTTGCTTATCAATATACTAAAAGCACCAAGAAACTTGAGCTTCCAGAATGACAATGTCTATATTCCGGGAGATTCTACATTAGTTCATGACGACAGGAATAGTAACACAATTTCTGTGAAACGAAAAGTTGCTTGTCAATATTTTTAGAATCCAATGAAATTTCAGCTTCCATAATGACAGTTTCTATGTTGCAGGAGATTCTTTATCAATATATAACATCAGGAACAGTAACACAACACAACAAGGTCTCCCGGTTTGTTTCCCTTTGTTTCGTAATATATTTTTGGGGGGTGTTATTCCTATCTAT